TCAATATAATACGAGAACCATTCATCATTACGCCTACTTATAGAAGAGAATAAGCTCAAAATGTTGCAAAGGCAATAAAATCACACGCCCCCCATTTTTTTTAATGTTATTTCATAGGGTCCCATTTTGAAATTTGGCAGAAAGATACACTAGTGTAGAAATACATGAGCATTTTTTAACATTGATTTATATCTTGCCTTGTGTGAAAATTTGTATTATATTATGAGAATATATTTTAAATACTTAAGTAGTACATTAACAAAAATTATATTCACATTGCATGAAAGTACATCTTTCTAAGTTTAATGTAGGTGTAACTATATTTTTCTTAAGGAAAAAGTAGACGCGTAAACTAGTATTACAACATTAAGACCTCATAAAAAGTGCTTCAAATCACGAAAAAAATAGTGATTATTTTGTGAATGTGTGATATAACATTGAATGACATCTAAATATAATCCTATATTGATCTTAACCAAATTTTTACACTATTCAAGATGGAGAATAACCCTTTCAAATTTCAGAAGGATAATAGTAAAGGAAGAGAAATGTTACCTTAAAATTAATTTTAGACCTATTGAAAAAAAAAGTGTAATATACACTTTTTGGTAAATTTGAGTGTTGTCTCCTCCCTGCCTGTGCTTTTGCAAGGGTTAATTAACACGTGAAAGTAATTGTTACCAATTCTGTAGTTGAATGTGTATAGCATGGACTGATTAACCTAAGGGTGATGAAAAGGGTAAATTGGCAGCTCTATGAACTTTCAGACATAACAACTTACCTACAAGGATGACAAGTGCTCACTTGGAGGATTCTCAATTGTGCACTTGGAGGACTGCCAAACAAATTTTCAAGTTCATGTGGGACATGAAGTAGTATAGTCATATTATTGTTGCCAACAAGAAAATCTTCAGTAATAATATTGATTGCGATTTATATTGACTTATGAATATATGACTCAAGCATGCTATGAGAGCCTTTACCAGTTGGGTTCATAATAAAAAAACATAAGTGTATTTTTAAGTTGAAGACATTTTGAAATGTATTGCACTCCAATAATATAATGCCGTCCAATAATTAAAAATGTTTATTAGATGTAGACTAGGTTGAATATCTTGTCTGGGCAATGATTAAATAGATGATTCAGTATTTTATCCTGAAAAAAATATTCAATATTCTGGACAATAACATTATCCTTTAATAAGGTTTCTAAAAGATAATTTTTTATACAAAAAGAAAGAAAGAAAGAAAAAAAATCCTTGATTTTTAATTTGAAAAACTAAATTACTGCTGTAGTTCAATCAAATTATTCAAGGAGTTAACAGTAATACCCACAATATGGTGTTAGAAGACTTGGTTAGGCTTAAAGATTTCAGGTTATTCTACACGTGTTATTTTTTATTACTACATTACGTATTTTAAGAATATGTGTTTGTACAGTTATTTTTAAAGCACGTGTTCTGCACAGCTTAGACTTCTTCTAACATGTTTTGACGTGTAATCCGTAATCATAGGATGAAAATTTATTTGTTATTGAATTTATTTGTAAAATAACTAAATACAAAAACATATCATAACGTAGTATTCAAAAACTCAAGACTAGAGATCAAAAACTCATATCAAAGTATCTATCTATTAGAGATTATAAAATAATTTTAATTTTTAACATGATACAGAAAACTAGTCTTCGGTAATAGATGAACACATTTGGAAATAATTACAAACAATTTGCATTAAAGAATGGGGCCAAGCAAACATTCAAAATACAAAAGAGAATCATCCAGACCATAACAAATACAAAAATAACAGAGTCCTGTAGACCTCAATTCCACTGCCATGTTCATTTATGATATTCTCATGTTTCTAAAGAAAAATCTTACAAACAATGACACACCTTACAAATTTAACTGAAGCTTACACACTTACAACTCAAGGCAAGCATATAACCTTCATAAACTATTGCGCACAAGCACACTATACCAAAAGGGTACATTTACTACAGGAATACAATTCTTCAACAAATTACCAATGAATTTGAGAAACTTAACAGGATTACACTTCAAAAATAAACTTCCTTGGGCAAAAGTTTTTTACCCAAGTGTTCAGGAATACCTCAGAAACTAGCAGTAACTAATATGTGCAATCTGATTTCAGGTGCTGCAGAAGGACTAGATGTAGAAATAGAAAAAAAGCTGCCTCCTATTCTTCACCATTCCAAGAGCTAAACATTGAACATACTAATACTGAAAAATTATATGTAGTTGTTACCATAATTGATATCATGAACTATTATTATTAGTAGTATTATCATTATTTGTTATTGTTGTTGTTATAATAATAATAATAATAATAATAATAATAATACATAATAAAATAATATATGTTCGCCCCACTGGCACTGACGTTGCGGTTGCGCAGCCATCGCTCCGTGCCGAGAGGCTGCAGCTTCGAGTCCTGCCTAATAAGACTATGTCAATTTGTGCACGTGCCCTTCACTATTCATCATGCATCATTCCTTTCATCTCATATTTCACACTTCAAGTGTAAAACAACCTTGTTGTTATCCAAGGATACAGCTGAAAAGCTGATCCTGGAAGAATTACACACGTTAATCGTATATCGTATTAGTAGTATTAGTAGTAGCAGTAAAATGGCAATAGCATCTAAATTTTACTTTTACTTTAGACATGAAATAGTACAAATCTTGAAATGATAAATAATTTTGCTACTAAAAATAATTTTCTACTGTGTAATATCTTAATCTATCTGTTTTTGTAGTTTCCCTTTGGTCCTTTGAGCAAATGCTGAGATGGCACCTTATTTTGCTCTGGACAGTAATGTAATATCACCCTCTGCACCCAAGACATATTGACTCATCAAACATGATTGTAATTGTATATATGATTCAATAGAATATTATTATTATTAAAGAAACAAATAAAATTTAAAAAAACAACACCAGATCCTCTTTTATCCACTGCTCAATGCAAATTCCTAAAAAAGTTTTACAACCAGGATTTTCATTTCTTAAGCTTTATTTTTTGACCAAAGTATTTTGAAGAGATGAAATAATTGCTTAAGGTGTCAGGAAAAAACTTATTTTAAATAGGTAAAATGGAAGGAGAATTAAAATCATTTCTTGTGAATTAAAAGGCAACCCCATTTCATGGAACTAAAAATTACAGAACCATTGACTGGTGAACAGAAGTGAGAAGCCATCCAAGAAATAACAAAATTTTTGATACAAGGACGAACTGATAATTATATGGCAGCATCTAACAGCAATTTCATTTTCTCAGTTGAGTTATTTTTTTAATGTTCAGATTAGAGTATTCAAACATTGGGAACTGTAAAGACTTTTAACTTGTGTTTTAAACAAAAATTTGAACAATAACATGCAAGTTTATCATTGTAATAATATTGAAATATGGTTTATTTAAAATTAAAATTATTCTAAACAAAATATTTAGCTATACTATTTGCATTATTACACCCACATACCTGCACCTTAATTCTTTTAAATATTCACACAATATAAATATTTATTTAAACCGCTTATTAAAAAATTAAATCGGTGATGAAAAGAAACAATTTAATTTCAATCAATAAATCCCTACTAGTACACCTAGTATCAGTTGTTAAATTCACTCATGTAGATATTCTATTAACATTTTACAAAAATTCAGTAACACATTGGGCAATAAGTTAGCATAGAATTGGGAAGGAATTAGGATTGATGTAGGGTTTAAGATACTTCACAGGGATTGGACTATCCCCTGTGAAACATGCATACTCGTTTTGTCGTAGCAAATTACTCATGAGGTTCTACGGGAATTGAACCCGGAACCACAGTAGTGAAAGGCAAGGCATGGAAAGGTGGTGAAAGGAAAGGAAAGGCAAGGCACTTCACCATTGAGGACCAAAGACAATAAAACAAATGTAGTTTTCAGTATCAAATATAACACCCAGTGCTGTGATAAGTTTATGTGGGCCAAAGCGGCATTTGTTCACATGAATAAAAGAGCACATAAGTAACAGTGAATAAAAGGGAGATGACACTGTTATCTCTAGCCATGTACAATGTTCTACTCATGAAACTCTGAAATGAACTGGACATATGGAGATATTTTAGACCGTGAATAAAACGGGTATACTGAATATACAGGTTGATTACAGGAATGTTATTAATTAAAAAACAAAAATCTATTCAAAAAGTTTATCAAGACTCTTCTAATCTTAACATGTGCGCAAAATAATGAACATTTTGTAAATCTTTCATTAGAAAACTTTACTTAATGGACATCTTTTCATTATTTCATCTAATTTATATATTAATTTTTTAAACTATTATTCTAAATTAAACTAAATTATGTTCCATCCATTGTAAATTACTGACATTTCAAATATTTTCAGTAACATTCAATCTTGCATACAGATATTTTAATTCTATTCTACATTCACTAACTACTCTATTCTACTAGTCATTAAGTTCAGTTTGGTACCTCTAGTCTATTTAATGATAAGCAGGGTGATATGGTTTATTTTAAAAATATTATGGTTCTCCACCAGTCGGTTTGCCACCCTGGAATGATGTGCACGTCAACTTTGAGGGGCCTTCTATCCCTTGTGGAATAATCCATACTGTTTGTCATGGCACTTTTTGATTTTCATTTTCACAAAGTAGTATGCAAGGTGTTAACTTCATTCAGTTACACATATTACTTTAGCTACATAATTGTATTTAATCATAGATATTATATTTTGAGAATCTAAAATTTATAACTCAACTAACAAAATAATATTGGCAAAAAAAATGTTTTGGTAAGGTATTATCAAAAATGTAACATACATAAGGGGATCTCACACATTGAAATTGAAATGTCTACGTTAATGTAAAATTTAAAGGATTTTGACTAGAATCATAATTTATTTTACAGTTGAGTAAGATTGATTTCTTTTATGTACCAGTCAAAACTTTTATATAAACCAAACTAATTTTTCCCAATACTTTTAAGAAATATATGTAATGTAGTTAGGTTAATTTTAGAAAAGAATGAATTGGTTGATGTGGTTGTTTATGGGTACATTTTTGAGTTTCAATCATTAAAATTCAAAAGTGAAAAGAAGCAGTACAGAAGACTGTTTCTATTCTTTCTTTTGATTCCCTTGCTACAATCTGTTAATTCAGCTTCTTTTTTCACAGAAACAATAAAATAAGAAACTGAGGTATATGCAGCCCCCGGGAATAAGGCACAGCACATTTACTCTCTATGAATGTGTGACAAAATTTTCTACTAGGGAAATGCTTTATTTTGGTATTTTTTTATGTGAAAATATTAAATCATTCAAGAAATGTTACAAAATAAATAAATTATTTCATATATTAACATTTTTACAAAGGAGTCATTTGTACATATTGCCAACATGTAATCTTTCAGGTACAAAAACAGTGAGGAAAAATTACAAACTTTAAAGCTCAGAAAACAGTACACATAATTCCCGCTTCAAATTCTTACTCTCACTATGTTCATGAGTATTATCATGACAATCTTGATTTAACTTGTGATATAACTTGAACAACATTATCCTGTAAATTACAAACTTTTCTTCTTCTTCTTTTAGAAATTACAATACGTTCAGGAGTTTCAATAGAATTAACTGAGTTACTATTCACGGTACTGCAATTAGAAATCTTATTCACTATTTTAGATTGTTCATCTTCCTTAACGGAAGTACTGAATAAACTTATTTGCTCATTAACATTAGGGAGAATATTAGTGCTGCCATCAGATATCAATTCTACTCGACTCATCACACACTTCTTTTCAAGATTAGCTTTCAATTCATCACATATGGAATCTAATTTTCTCTTCTTCGGACTCCTCTTTTCATCAAATGCACTTTTTTCTAAGATATCTTTACTACTTTGAGGACACAAATCGATATTTTGTCCCATGGCAATACCACTTTCACAATTATCAACATCAAAAATACTCTTATCTTTCTCACAGCTTTCAGAAACTATTAAGTCACTTGCTTTAGACACCAGCAATTTCACAGATCTTCTACGCTTTGGTCTCTTAAAGTCACACTGTTCATTGAATACACAAAATGAAAAATTTTTATCTTTCACAATGGCAGGATCTTCAAAGGAAGGGGAGATTTTCAATGGAATGAGATTCTTACTAGGTGGCGTTCTTAATTGTTGTGAGGGTAACTTTTCACAATCATTATCTTTATGATTTGTTAAATTAACTTCTCTTTCAGTTTCAAATGATTCATTTCGATAAACCTCACTGCTACATCTTTTGCTTTGAGCAGAGCTACTGTGTTCAGCAATATCAGTTTTCATTGGTATTAATGAACACTGTTTTTCTTCTGATATTTCATTTCTCTCTACTTTTTCAGTCTTACCTTTTTGGCACGATTTTTCTGAAGACTCTGAATTATTTTCTTTGCTTTGAATGAAATTACATTTATCTATATTTACGAACTTTTCAGTAGTCTGTTCTTTACTACTTAATTTCTTCTCATATTCATGCCCTTCAGTAACAAACCTGTCTTCCAAGTTCACATTAGGGAAAACAGTGTTTTGTAACTCTACAGGTTTACAATTCGATTTCAATTCTATTTTTTGCTGATACAATTTCTGATGTTTCATTGGTGTACGAGAAACACTTCTTTCACGCATTGCTTTTGAATATTTGGATTTCAATTGAGTAGCCATCCGCATGTTATCTGACAGAGTTCTAGCTTTTGAAGTGGAGCGTCTTCTGTCAGAATACCTTCTTGAATGCTGTGGGGGACTAGGACTTCTCCTTGAATGAAATGGATGCTTTCTTCTAAACTCATCACATGTTCCCATTCTATATTTATGCATTTGAAAATTAATTTCTTTATACGAGCCTTTGCTATATTTTCTATCACTATTACGATCCCATGATCTATCATATCTGCTTCTTTCAACGGGTAACTTTGGTGACCTGTAATTGTAGTAAGATGACCTTTCCCCATTTCTTGGATAATATTTATCAGAAAATTCATAATTTTGCCTCCCTCTTCTCTCTTCAGAATATGGTTGTTTTGCAATTTTAGTCGATACCCTTTCTTTGGAAGTCGATACGATTTCTTTGGAAGTAGACCCATGAGTTACATTAGATGATGTATGAGAAGAATCAGAAGATAGTTTATCAGGTAATGTGTAACTGATTTCTGAAGAGTTATTTTCACAACTTTTCTCTGATGAGTTAATTTCAGAGATTTTATTATTTACTTGGGAAATACAATCAGAAACATCATTAACCCTACCGTGAGAATCTCTATTCTCTGGTTGCACAGGCTCAGACACAAGAGAACTGGAGGAGCACTCAACGAATCTTTTATAATCACATGAGATATCTGGAGAAGATTCAACCTTACAAGAAGGCACTAAGGATTTCTTTTCCAAAGGTGGGGAAAGTGTTGAATTTGTTGATTTCACTGAAGTGATGAGGTGTTTGGCAGGCAGACTAGAGTCCAAAGCTTCTGCAGAAGGTTTATTGGGATTCTGTCTATCCTTTCTTCGAAAAATTAAGAAATCTTTTCTGAAAAAATAACAACATTAATAACAAAGCAACATTAATACTTATTACCTATTATTCTTGTCGTAACTTACTCTCTCCTTAACTCCTCAATTAATTGATCCTTCCTTTTTATTTCATTAACAGCGGTTTGATACAAAGAAGAAATATTTTTCTCTAAGATTTTGTTTTCTTTTTCTAAGTGAGCAATCCTTTCTTTTGTTTTAAGTAAATCAGCTTCTTTTTCATCTAATTGTGTTTTGAAAAGTTTCCTCTCTTCATCTATCTGTTGAAAAAGAAAACTTGTAAGAAAGAGCTTAAACATGTTAAGGAACACTGACATTATAGAAGCAAGTTTTATACTAACTACATTAAATACCTTAGAAATTGATTCTTGAAAATTCAGTTCTGGTAGATCATCATAGAGGTCCACATCATCAGACATTTTAATGGTATGTTCATTTAAAGAAATGGTCACAAGTTTGTAGGCTCCAATGTTCTATGAACAAATATCTAAAATTCTAAATATTCTATCTGATGAGGCCATTTAGATTATTTTTTTTTTGTTTCTTTGGTGTCTCAAGCTGCTTGTTTGCCAAGCGGTTTTCCAATTACCAAATTTTAAGCACATAACACATCAAACAAGGAAACTCACATAGAAACCAATAACCAAAATCTGAAACCGTTTCGATACAACAAAATCAATACAATTCTGGAATTCTCCTTATTCCACCTGCGAAACCTTTTCGGGAATGCAGAAACTCACTGACAGGCTTGTTAAACGAATAGCCTGTTTATCTCGACCCATCAATATTAACAAAAGCCAGAATGATTTTAATCAGCTCACTTTTAAGAACACCTTCAACAGATGATTATTGGGCTCACTCATATATTATTTTTTAAATAAACATTTGTTATATAACAATACTTCACTGTAAAGAACGCTACCAACGTAGTATTGTGGAACCTGTGGCTTCATATCCAGTCCAAAACAACTCGAGTTGAACAATTGGTCAACAGATAGCAGTTGCATTAGTTATTTTACGAGAAGGTAAAAATAAATGAAATACTTGTTCATTCAATTACATAGTTACATTTTGTATTAAAATTAAGAAAGAATCGAAGCCATTTCGCAAAACATTGTTCTTTGGAGGGACTAATACATTACAACATCAATATAAGAGGGAAGTTCTACCGTATTTTGAATGTCACTATGAAGATTACTAAAAGAAAATAAATCATTCCAAGCTATGAAAATACAATAAAGTACTTATTAATGAGCTTCTGAGACATGTCAGAGCGTCAGGTGGCATTTCTTTCCATTCAAACATTCCTACTCTTTGGAGGGGCACGTGGGGACGCATGCGCAGTAGTGCTATCTGAACAAGGTTTCGAGAAGCAGTGGTTGTTTGGAGTTGTGCGGTGCGCGGTCGCTCCACACCCAGTGCACGGGAGGAATTTCGAACTTCTGAGTATTTTTTTTACGTCATTTGTGATGTACCTGTCATTGGTTACTGAAGAAATTAGTAAATCAGATGAAAATGGTACAGTATTTATTGTTTAGTTTGTTTGTGTTCGTGTTTGTGATGAAGCTAAACGGAAAGTGACGTGAAAAGTTCTACTGGTGCTGCGCAGTCATTTTGTACCTGGAGGCGCATTTTACCCATGGTACCTGTGTGGCGTGCGGAGCAACAAAATAACAAGGTATGTACGATGTTCCACTTGCAATGTAATGATATTCCATGACGTTAGTGACTATGTGTGTCAGTGAGAGCATTTGCCAAAAATGTTTGAAAGTTGTATGTCTATTGTCGCGGGTTCTTGAAGTATTATTCAAAGAAAAAAGAAGACTAAAGCAACGTGTGAAGAAAAATGGCTGCCTGGAATGCCACAAGCCTTCGCAAAGGAGTTTTTCATTGTTGCAGAACTTTGTTGAAGTTGTGAAAGAGGAAAATCAGCATCCGTAGGTCGCAATCCACTCTAATGGAGTCATCTCAGAACACCATGGTAATGAAATATGCTTGGAAACAAAACATTGCATCTCGTCACTTTGGATAGAGTGGATTGTATTGTATAGGAATTGTTGAATTGTTTTTCTATAATTAAATATTTGGTTGTTAATGAAAAATATTGGCTTTGTATTTTTGATGAACTAGTAGTGTTCCGTCACTTTTTCAAAACAGAATTTCCCCTTTACCAATTCAAGTGTAAATAAACATTTTATGTAAGTGACCCTTCCACACTGAAGATAATGCAGTAATAAAATTGATTTAATTGGACGTCACTTAAAAGTCTGAAAAATCGTTGGATTCACGTTGAGTTTTTTTTAATCTTTGTACATTTGCCTGAGGGCAAAAGTTGATAGCTAGTATTTTAGGAAGTTTCTGGGTACATTAATTTCCTTTTCAATGGGATGGGGATTTTTGCAGTATTAAATATTTAAATGTGTTAATTTTTACACTACAATAGGTGAATAAAATTATCCATAGCACCTTTAGTAATCTGAAAAATGAAAAACAAGTAGCAGTAAATGAATATTAAAAGTTTTTAAAAGCTCGAATAAGAGACTTCAATTTCGAGAGGGGCAGAATCATTACGAGAATGAATGTCAGTCACATTTACTACCCTAAAATCTATTTTCAATCGTGCACTTGTGTGCATAAAAGAGAAACTTATAAAGACAGCCAGTGTTCCTGTTGGCGCGAAGCAAATGGGAATGAAGTGATTAGGACTGGCCTCATCTCGATTGGTGCGTGGGCGACGTGTGCGTAGTGCAAGCGCCTCGCAGCCTCCCAGAGATTTCAACGCGCGGAGATGTGTGACTGCGCAGTGGATGTGCGCAGAGCGTTGGTTAGCGACGGGGCAGGAGTTGGCTCACGTCGGCCCTTGCTTGACGTGCTGAATGCTTCCTTTGTCGATGACAAGAAATAATAGCAAACAAAATGCACTTCAAATGTTGAGATAAATCACTATCGTTCTGGTGTGCAACGGCTTTTCACTGAATTTCGCAATCGAAGTCACTTCTAGAGGTTGAGAAAAACGCTATTCCTATCACAACTTGTCATTTGCACGCATATGCTCTATAACAATAATGCTTGTCAACGAAATAAATATATTCCTTAACGAGGACTATCTAGTTTATCAATATTTCATTATTGAATTATAGAAGTTGCCATTTTCTCTGCATATGCTTATTTTCTGTGCCATCATATAATGTGAAAGAATCGGGCATTATTGTTAATTTACTTCAGCAGTAATGAAAATTTGGTTTTTGATTTTGGCACCTGCATTCCTTATACATACTGTGTTTTTAGTCTTCGAGTGTTACCTGCAATAAACAAGCATTCTTGCATTCTCTTGCGCGTGTAGTCCGATACTTTTGTGAAAACTCCGTATTTTACTTAAAAATTAAGCGAACGGCAAAAAACGATGAGTCGCTAACCATTGCATTTTGAAGGCCATACTATCACATGGCATTTGAAGTAGCAAAATACTCGTAATTAAAAATTTATAAGTTCGTAGAAAAATTGGAAAGGGTTGCTATTTTATCTACTTAGTAAGTTTCCAATAGCTGAACGGCTTAATAGAAGTTTTAAGTTGACTGGTTGTATTGAAAATTCTCATTCGATGTTGCAAAGATTTCCTCCTCAAATTGAAATATAAAAAACAGCAAAATAATACGTGGATCTTTCCCTTTAATAACTGAATATCGCACAATTTCTATCCTTAACCGCCACAACTTTTTCGCAATTCCCACCAGGCAAATGCATCGGAGTTGGCTAGAGACGGATGTGAGGAAGGTTTCTGATTGTCAGCAAATAAACATTTTAGCAATTTCAGTATTTCACTACATAATAATATCGTGCTCAAAACTACTGAAATTCACACATACCAAATTCTGGAATTAGTTTTCATGGACTAGGAGGACCTCTCATACAAGTAGCTTTTGCCGAGTCAATTAACAATCTTTACTCATGTAATTTGTGTAGAAATCTATCACAACTAATTGTGTACTCGTAAATATGAGAATTTGAATCTTTCCCTACGGATACGAAACAAATGCCGTATTATGGGACTAATGGGAACCTTTCCGCTCAGAGCCGTGTTCCCATCCTATTTTGACCCTTTCCTCTCCTCTCCCCATGCAACATACAAATATTATTATTCTCAAAGCGAAACGTCATCTGGGAGGGGAAGCCCAGAAGTCGATCTACCAACACTCGTGTTTGACTTAGATATCAGACCCTCCTCACACCCCTTCCTCCCCCTAGCGAGGGGGCGCCCGTGCTTTCGAATTCAAATTGCGAAGGTCAGGTATGAAATAATTTTGATTTCAGTCCTTGTCACATGACTCATCGCCATGGACATCACTGTGGATTCGGACCCATGCGGAAGATCCCGGATTCTCCAAATGTAATAGCCAGAACCATTTTCTGCCCCTTCCCCTGATATTCGACTTAGATTAGATTTGATTTATTTAGTCAAAAGAAAAAGAAAAAAAAACAGTAATAACTGAATGTCACGCATGGGGGAGAAGATTATCTGCGCCCAATTTCTTGAGTTCCAGAATCCCTTCCCGTCATTTTAACAAAAATAGTTGAAAGTAAAGTTGAGTAAAAGTTTAAAACAAATAAAATAAATTTTAAAAAATAGCGAGATTAGCAATATTTGAAAAAAAAGACATTGTATGTGTATTTCTGACAGTGAGCTGTTTATACTGACACTTGATGAACGTAATTTTTACGACGAATTGTAATTATAAATATCAGTATTGCATGAAAATATGTTCCCACCGTGAAGTAAGTCACTTTTGACAAATATTACAGATTCGTAAATATATAGACAAGGCAGTGGTAAAATTCCAAGCTCAATGAAGAGAAGCTTGCAAGGATCACGCGGATGGCATTTTTTCATTATTCGAATAATTTTCTTTTGAAACCTAAAGGTCTGAGTACTACACGAGTTTCCCCCAAATTTTATACCGTATGCATCGATATTTTAAAAGTGACCAATGACATTATCCCATTGTTATACTTCCTGCCTTATAAAATGAATTTTTCGCGCAAGTCCTTCTCAACAGGGCAAGTGGACTCAGATGTTATCACTGTTAAAAATGTTCATTTTATAGAAGAAATCTCGCTCATACAGTCGGTTCTACTAGAGCTATTGATTCCCGCAGAGAAATCATGAGAAATATTTCTAAACAAGAGAGGAAAGCGATTTGATACATGTGGAGAGTAGAATTCGAATGCTCACAGACTGAAGAGAACATACAGCAGAGGAGCGCTCTGTCTGTCTGTGCGTTTGTATCTCTGTGTTTGTATGTTTGCCTCTCTGTCTGTCTCGTCTGAATGTTTGTCTCGTCCAAATAATGCGTGAAAATATGAAAAGTTACTACTCCACTATTTTAGTTTTTTTAGTTATGTTACGAAGAAAGAAAAATCCGTATAATGGATAATTTGTGAAAAATTTAATTTTGCTTTCTCTTCCTAATTACATTTTATGGTTCTAATGTTGTCTATTACTCTTATGGCTGAACTGAAGTAAAATGTGATTTTTCAATTATTGTTATTATTATTATTATTGTCAAGAATGCTCTTTAATTTCTTGTTTACGGGAATACGTATAAATGAACACTGCTACACGTTTAAAAAAAAACAGTATGGTCTGTGTCTCTTTGCCAGCGGTAAGGGCTCGTATGTTGTCGGCTCTTTTTATATAGTCTGATATGAACAGAGCCCGGAAATAAATCTAAATTATTATTCCTGTATGTCGCCCCCCCCCCAATGTATTAAGTAGAAAACTTCAAGGTGGGAAAATGGAGTGTTTTATATTGTATTTTTATTCTTGAATTCGGGTTCCCGTAGGTTATTCCATTGAAGTATCAAATGTGAAGGAGGGGGAGACCCTTCCGGATCAAGATAATTTCACTGTTGAAAGACGGAACTGGCCTCTCCGATCGCGACCTTGAAAAACACTTGGACCGGCTGCTCAGATGCATCAGCCCTTCTGTCCAGTACAGATCCTCGCTAATGTTTTCATGGCAACCTAGGTGAGGGTCTCAGAGGGCTACACTGTAGGTTTCAATTTTACTTTCTCGCTACGGAGTAGAGAGAAAGTTACGTAATGCCGCGCGGAAAAACAGCGAATTTTTGACAGAAAACTCATTATTAAAGCGCTCTGCTTACGAAAAATTGGATAAATCCAGTTGCTAAATTTTGAAAGAAAAAAATCCTCTAACACGTGACGTAGCCAGAATCCATGTTTTGTGGGTCCTTGATACCAAAAAGTCGAATGACGGCAAAACGTCTGTCCGTCTGTGAACAACGCTAACCATTCAGCCGACTTTCTCTCAAATTGATTATCCCCAATTGATCTCGCTGATGCCGCGGCCCCTTGACTTTGAAAACGGTATTTTAAATTACGGGTTATTTTCCATGAAGCCCCTGAAACATTTTCAAAATTTCAAAATTAAAAAAAAAATCGTCTTCGATTAAATTTTGTGGTTGGATAGTGTGGCGGAAGTTTTAGAAAATGGTGTAGGTCTCAGATTCGTTAAAAACTTATTTTTCGAAAATAGCAATAGTTCAAAATCTTTTCGGAGTCTTCCTACAGCTTTAATAATAAAGATGGAGATTTTTTCCTTTATGAAATGAGTTCCTTAAAGATAGATTTGAAATAAGGTCATTGACCATTTTTCGAAA